CCTTAATATAAATTTGACAGCCAAAAAAAAAAAAAAAAAAAGATGCTTAAAATTTATACCTTATCAGATGAAACACTAATTGAGTTCTGTCTTATAAAACAGAGTTTTTTTAACAATTTTTTTTTTGTACTTTAAAAATACTGTAAAACTGATAAAAACTGCAACTTCTCAGTTTGCATTTATCAGTTGCTTTTGTTTAACAAATGATATGCGGCTATCCAGTACCACAATATTTGAGGCTTTTTTTCTGGCTCAGTGTTTAGGTTTTCAACAGAAAAAAATAAAAATAAAAAAAAAAGTTTAAACATTATCAAAACAATCAGAATTTATGAACAAAATTGGCACAGAGTCTTTAATTTTTCTTTTTCGCACATTGCAACTTCAACTTTTTTTTTTTCATGTCTTCGTTTTTTCCTTTAGAAGAAAAAAGATTTTGCAGTAAAAAATTGTTGCATAAATATAATTTAAAAAAAAAAAAATGGAAAGGTGAAAAAGTGGTGCAGAACTTAAGATAATTGTAAAAATAAACAAAAAAATTTTAAAAACTTACCCAGTTTTCATCGTGTTTTGCAATTTTTTCCAATTTTTCTTGTAAATGCTGCTGATCTGCCAAAAATTTTTTGGCTGCAATTTTTGTTTTTTCAAATGCACCTCGATTATTACCGGCAACAACGTCGGCGTACTCCAAATATCTTGACAGAGTATGCTCAAGTTTTGGTACTGGTGGTTTCGGCAACGAATTCTAAAATACACCAAGAAAAAAGAATTGAAAACATAGTTTACAAAACTAAGTAATTAGGCAATTCTAATTTCTCTTAACTAAATTTTCTTTTCTATTGTATCGATATAAACATTGACAGAGCAACGCTGGAGGTCGAACTTGCTTTATTATGTATATCGCAAATATTTAATTTGATAAAGCGTTATCCAATGATGGCAATAAATTTATCTTTCAAAATTCGATTATAATATTGCTTTTGCAGAAATTAGAGCGAGATTTTAGACAGTCAAAAAATGTAAGCAGTTTCCAAAGACACAGAAAAGAAAATATGATAATTTTTTTTTGGTGTCAGCGAAAACTGTAGCTGCCCTGAAATGACTATTACATATAGGTTGTAGAAAGCGAATTACACAGAATAACTTATATATTCGCTGCTGAGGGTTTGTGCTAAATAACAGAATAATAATTACTTTTCCACAAAATGAAAGCACATAATGTTTTTTTTATTGTTTCTTCAATTGCTATAGGAAATTGGAAAATGTCATATTCTCTTCCCAAAATTTCCTATTTTTCTAAGGCCGTCTAATGTGTTCATAGCTTTCTTCTTTTTTTGCTCTTCAAAGGTGAAGCATTTTTGGTTCAGATATATTCATATATATTTATATATATTTATATATTCATATAGATATTTATATATTCATCTGTAAATTTTATTTAGGGTAATTTCGGCATTATAAAACCATTGCGAAAAGAATAGCAAGCCAATTGTGACCGAATGTTTTCAGCTACTTTTAACAACCAACTATACAAAACTGCTATGCTGTGGAACCATAGAATTTACTGGGTAAGTTTTAATTGGTCTTCACAATTTGGTTAAAGTTTTAATTGTAATCTAAGCAGCTATTGAATAAATTACTGTCAAAAAACGTACTAAAAAAGCAGATAGAGGAATAAATATTCACGTTTTTTTCTTGAAACTTATAGCCGTAATGTAGCAACAATAATGGAACCTTATAAGCACAAATAAAAGAAGAAGTTTTAGAAAAAAAAATTAACTTTTATCTTGTTGTTTTGAAAAACAGATGTACTATAATGAAAAATACCCAAGCGAAACAAACATTAATTAACAACAAGTGCAACAGATAGAACAACTGAAGTTAGACAACAACAAAAAAGGAAAAAAAAGGAAAAACAGAAGAAATTTATTTTTTTATTGCTTCTAAATAACCTTGTAACTTTAGCAATAAAGTTACGGAAATAAATGAGTTTTAATGAAGAATAAGTTATTCAAATTCTGTTTTATTTTGAAAAGCTGCATTTCTAAATCTCCAGAGGATAAATTTATTTTTTACCTAAACTTTTAACAATTTTCAATGTAATTTTTTTTATGTTATTTTTTTCATTCTAATTTTTTTCCTCTTTTGACCATTTATTTTTAACGCTAATTAAAGAGATACATACATATGGGTTAAGGGCAAGTCGACGACGGCCAGCAATATAGCCAAAGTGTTTTACGGACGACGAGAACAGAGTAATACCAAAAGGCAGAGCCGAACATCGCCCCATCCAGCTTTTACAACCCCCCAGTAAGCAGGAGGAGAAAGAGGAGTTTCAATTTTTTTCTAAACTTTGTTCGTTTATAGGCAAAAAATTAGTTTTGCCTTATGAAGAAGGAAGAGTTGCTTTGGCGAAGCTTCAGCGCTTGTAGAAGAACACTATGACTAATTACACGCCTTACTTGCTAGGCCTGCTTCTTGTTCCCCTCATTTTTTTCTTCTGTTATTTCTTGTTATATGCTCATCTTTTTTTTCTCTTTTTTTTTGTTTTATATACCTCGACAAAATTAATTTATCCTTCTATTTTTTCTGCTATTCTTCAATGTAGCTTCAATTCTACCTTAGTGTTTTCTTTCTTTTTTTTATCAATTTTATTAAACATGTCATGTAACTCTTTAACAGTTTTTCAGCCAGGAAAGCATAACTTAGAGAAGAAAGGCGAGAAAAGATACAATGAAGCAAAACTTTATTTTTGTTCGCCAATTTCTGTACCATATGTCAACCAGTCGTTTTATGTTAACCAGACCAGTGGTATATGGAGATAACAAAGAAGTAAGTATCGTTAATTTTTCGTCAAACAAAGGAAAAAATTATTTTTTTTCCTTCAGTTGTTGAAAAAGAATATCAATGGTGAAATTCCATTTTTTTTTTTCGTTTTCAAATAATAATCAATTTCCGCTAAGTTAAAAGGTTTTTCTTCTTGATTGTTGAATAATTTTTTTTAAAAGGTACAGATAACGCTTACAACAATAAAATTTAAAAAAAAGGAAAAGAGAATGTCAAAAATTTAAAGAACGAAAATTAACGTTTTAATTATGCCATACAAAATTGGCTTATTTATTTACTGTATTTTCAACTTTGATGGTGCTGTTATTTCCTTCTTATTTTTCTTGCTAACAAACGTTTTCGCGTTAGGAATACTGTAAATTTGCTTTTATTCAATTTCTTCGCTTCAGGACGCTATAATATAGGTGAGTTACAGTACCCGATGCAGCGTTTGTGTATCAAAATGATAATTACAAATTTACTGTTGCAGATACGGTAAAAGCAAAAAAAATTTATCTTATTTTGCCATTTTCTTAAAAAATACACATTTGGTTTTTTAATGTAAACAAAAGATATTTGGTTATTCAGAATGAATGACTGAAAAAAGAATTAATCTTTGGAAAGCAGAAAAAAATTGTTAAGAAATGAAAAACTTCAAAAATTGTGCTTCATATTAACTTGCGACCAAATGTTTACTACTTATTGCATTATTAAAAGTTTTTTTGTAAAAAGCCAAATATTTTTTACTGGCTAACATCAGTTTTTCCTGTTGCAACTCGTATTTATAAGATCAGCATCAGGAAAATCAAATTTGATAGTAGATATCATATTTCAACAAGAAACTGCAAAAAAAACGTCTGAAAACCGCTCTAAAAAATATAATACAAGTTTTTTTCTGCAAGTTTATTCATTGTCTGTGACTATCTTGAGTAGAAGTTTTTACGTAATAAAAAAAAATTCCCTAGCTTAACATTTCCTTGCTTTTTTATTTGACAAGCTAGACTTTGTCATCTGATTTTGCAAACAATGGTTAACAAGTATGCCATCGCTAAATGTTTTTGACTTCCGAGCCGAGTCCGGAACTATGATTTGGTTAGATCTTCCAAATAAGAGTGCTAAAGCACTTCTATTGTTTGCTCGCTGTTGTTGCTCCCTTTATTTGTGCAATTATAAACATGCAAAACACTTTGGTTTCCAAAAGAAAAGGAGAGATTCAATGCTCAACTGATGTCCTGGTCGTATAAATAAATGATTTTAATTTTATTATTTAGTTTTTGTTCACTTGACACATCTTGCAATACGCCATTTTACGTACTGTCTCATTGAAAAAAAAAATTATCTCAACAATCCATAACAGAATGAAATACTTACTTCATACCAGCGTTGGTTATCGTCGCCTCGAGACAGCGCCATCGGTTAAAAAGACCTGCAAACTGATTAGATTAGCAGTGGTTCACTGTTTGTCTTCAATTTTTTCTGTCCGCAGCTAACAGATGAGTTTTTTCTCCTTTTCCCATTGCTGTATTTTGCGGTCCTCCTTTCCTATTCCTTTTTTTTTTGAGAAGTCTCCGAAAGAAACATACACTTTTTGCTGAATATCTATTCAGCATTCCAAAAACTTAGTTTGCTTTCTGTATCTAGGATAAATCTGGAAGTGGCTTAAATTGCAACAAAGTTTCTATTTTTAAGTTGCTAATTATACTGCGAATGGAAGACCAATTTTGTAGCATTGCTCGTTAACTTTTATTGAAAATCCGGCAACAATTTTTTTTATAACAGATTTTATTTCGAACACAAGTGCTTTTGTTTTGTCACATTATTAATGCAAGAAAAGTAACAACTTTTCATTCTATTACAAAAATCTTTACTTATTAAAAGAGTACAACAAGTGAGATAAACAAGCTAAAATTGTTTTTCTTTTTGGAACATTCAACACAAAAATTAAGTTACTAGCAGAATTCCACTAAAAAAAAAAGTAAAGTCACAGGTTTCCATTTAAGATAAGCGACTGAAAAACAAAGTATTAAATTTTGTTTCTTCTAAAATTGATGATATCACATCTAACCATTTGAAACATCTCATGCTCGGTGGAATCTCATCACTACAATTAATCTTCCACATTTTTATGGGTTTGGAATAACCACCAGCCATTTTTGCTACTATATTCATTTTTATTCCAACTACGAAATTATATCTTTTCATGCTAAAAAAATTTTTTCGCTAGCCGCTTTGATCTGTGGTGAGTTTATGCAGTTAATATCGTTTTCTTTGTTGTCTATAGCACGTACTTCAGTTACAGACTCATCTTGTACCATCAAAAAAAAAAAAAACACTTGAATTGAACCTTAAAAAATCTACAATGTCAATGCTTTATTGCAGCTAAGCTTCTCCGGTTCTTACCGACATGCTTAATTTTTTCATGATGACAAAGCTGAGGCCCATAGGATATCGAATTTCCAAGGTCGTTGCCTATCGGGTCAGCATGGTTCAGTTTAACTGCAGCTGTTCATAGCCTCTTTTCGTATACATCTCATGTAAGTTTTATTCAGTAGTCAAATTTTTTCAATCTTAATTTAGGCTTAGAACTGATTTTTTTTTTGTTATGGTTGCCAAAAAACATCTCTACAACAGACTTAAGCATTATTGTAACTTAAAACAGTCTAATAAGAAGTGTTAACTCTTGCATCTTCAAACAAATAGTACAAATAACCTGAATTATTGTTGTAAAAAACAACAATAGCTAATCGTTTTTTTATTTTAAAAACTTCTATCTTTTTAGAAAAACTCTAATGACTGTCTTACAGGTACAATACAGTTATTACTTAATTCATTCAGCTTTCAACGGTTTAGTAAGAAGAAGAAATTTCCACAACTGAACTTCAAATGTGCTGGCCACGAGAAAAAACTATTATCAGTTGCTTGTTTACAAAATGCATGCGAAATCAAACTGCATTCTCGAATATGTTATTTGATCTAAATTTAGATTAAGTGAGTAGCTGTCTTACAAAGTCTTATCTAAAATGACTGAAAATCAAAGATAAGAAAGCAGATCAAGCTTGATATGGTGCTTCCGTTTAGTAGGATTTGCAACAGCACCGACAATTGGTGATGACGATAATGATGATAATTGCCTTAACACACGTCAGCCTTTCTTCACCGCTACTCTATAAAGGAAATTTGGCGAATTAAAGAGTAAAAGTGATCAACCCAGCGGGTACGTTATAACGATTAGTACTTCTTTTTCGTTTTCTACATATTTATTCATGTGACGTGTTAGCAAAATTCTACATTTAATATCTGTGATACATTACTGACCACTTATTTTTAGTCGATTAAGTTAGATGTAGCTAGTTAATTTAGTCTAGAACATTCGACTTTATAAAATTTTTACATTTTAGAAAATTTATTTTTACTGACGGTTAATTGTTGGAAACTGTGAAGTTGCTAACAACCACCTACAAATCTTATCATGTTTTTGCTTTATTTCTGACTAAGTATTCCAAAAAGATTGTTTATTGCCATACGTCTGTGGTATAATGAGAACAATTTTTCCTTCTACATGAAAAAATCTTATTGAAATAACAACATTTACCTAAAGATAGAAGAAAAAAGATCACTTTACAAGCTCATTCTTTTCTTTTGATAAAATCATCATATAAAGTACTGTTGCATAAGTTTACGAAAAAAACTTCAGGTGCAACTACGTTTTAAAAAATTATGTGCCCAATTTTGGTCATCAGTCATTTCTCTGTTCCCATCTCAGGTACATTACTTCTCAAAATACTGCACCTTCTTTGGTGATCTTCTGTTGTCTTTTTGCAGACAAACTGAGAATTTTTTTGATAACCATAACCGTTTTGGTGGAACAGTCGTTTTTTCACAGAGCGATCATACTTCATTTCGAATCAAGCAACCTTCAGTGATTTTCAGAGTTGCCCGAGCAAAAGAGTCTGTTAAAGATTTATGCCAGCAACATATACAGCGGTTCATGTTTGCGTCATAAAGAAAAAACTATAATACTGCAATTAAATATCGCAACTACCTTTGCCCTAAAAAAACCCTTTTGACTAAAATCAAAAAAAAACTGGAAGTAAGAAAAAAGAATAATAATAATATAATTCACCTCCATTCAACCCTATTTCTATCAAGCAATTGCTTAAAGACATCGGCTTAAAATTAGCCATTCGATACAATAGTTTTTTAGAAGAAATAAAAACAGTTTTTCAGCTAACTAGTACAAAAATTTAGAAGATTTAATTTAGTCAAAAAAAAA